TTCTGGGTAGAGCTGAGAAATCTGCATTTTGGATAATCCTCGAGGCTCAGGCAAAGCCACTGTCAGCTCCTCAGACTGACCTGAGAGCTCACGAGAAGGGGCACTGGTTTGTCTTATCTTTGGGGTGTGAGGAGAGAGGCCGCAGCAGACAGCCTGAGGTAGGTAGTGGCCAGGCAGGTGTGCCCAGGCCCAGGCAGGGAGAAAGCCACTGTGGGGCGGGGGGAGCCTGGCACATCTATGGTTTGTTTGTTGACGCCCCACCTGGTACCTGCTAATTATGCATGAGAGGCTGCTCACTCTGAAGGGATTATTCCAACCGGCTGCTCCTCACTGCCCAGCGAGGAGCTTTCGAGAGTCTCGACCCAGCAGCAGTAACTGGCAACTTTTCAATGTGACACAGGGGATTTTCATTAGAGCAGCAAGGAAACCCCTAGATAGGGCAGAGGAGGAAGAGGAGAGGGGTGTTAGCTGGAGATAAAGCTGGGGGGTGGAGAGCCCACCTGTCAGCAGCTATGCAGGGTGGGGCTGGGGAAAGGTTTTGGCAGTGGGAGAAGCTGCCAGAGGTCCCAGCTGAGCTTGTCTAGGTGGGCACACACATCCCACCTGGCTTCCTTGGGCCTGCATCAGGTGATAAGTGGCAGTTAGTCAGAGCCACACCCCCCTTAGTTCCTTGAGAACTGAGGGTAGGGGGACTCTGAAAGGGCTGAGTTAAAGGGTGGAACTTTGTAAAGTAAAGGGCAGACAGAACATTTAGGGGATGGACGGGTCTGGAGCCACACATCAAGTTTGCATCCTGCCTCTGCAGTTCCCATTTTCTAACATTGAAGTAAATTACTTCATCTCTCAGTGGCTCTGTTTCCAGCTCTTTAGAGGGAGACTGTAGATGTACCTAACTTACAGGGTTAACAACATACCTAACTTACAGGGTTAACGAGTTCATCTAGATGTACCTAACTCACTTAGGGTGAATGAGTTCATGCAAGGCAAGAGGTCAATCCTGTCCTTGGCATTCAGAGTGCATGTGAAGAATGTGAATCGTGATTTTTTTTTTTTTTTTTGAGACAGAGTCTCATTTTGTTGTCCCCAGTAGAGTGCCACAGCATCACAGCTCACAGCAACCTCAAACTCTTGGGCTCAAGTGATTCTCTTGTCTCAGCCTCCCAAGTAGCTGGGACTACAGGCACCCACCACAATGCCCAGCTAATTTTAGAGACAGGGTCTTGCTTTGGCTCAGGCTGGTCTGGAACTTGTGAACTCAGGACAATCCACCTGCCTTGGCTTCCCAGAGTGCTATGATTACAGGCATGAGCCACGGCTCCTTGGCCTCCATGATAATTATTTTTCAGTGTGGAGTTTAACAGTGCTTTGGAAAGGGGGGCGATCATGCAATGCTTTCCATCACCCTGTCCCTCTCCTCAGTCTCCCACGCAGATCTCTGCAAGCTGCCCAAGGTTGGCCCTGCAGGCCACAGTCTGCACATCTCACTAATCTGGTGCCTTTGGGGAGGCAGGAATCACACAGGAAGAGACTGACTCTTCTGCTCAGACATTTTCAGGTCATTTTAGTTTCAAATGCTCTGTGCATCATCCCCACGAGTGCCTCAATGTCCCTGAGATGCCAGCAAGTATCACGGCAGCCAAACCATATTTTCTGGGCTTCCTTTTGCACCTGGAACCATTACGAAAGCCTGTCTGAGATGTTACCCAATTTTTGTTTCAGAAAGTACTATCCCTGAACACACAACTGAATTTTCCAGATAAATATGTGTAACACTCAAAACTACAAGCTTTTTATTTTAACTGGAAAGTTTTTAAATGGAAATTTTTAACCATATTTTAAATGGAAATCTTCCTTAAATACGGTTCATGCACTTGTCTTCCTAAAGAAAGGACATTACGTTTTGGTTCATTTTTCTGGGTGACTTAAGATCAGTGTTCTCATATTGTGCTCTAAAACTTCATCCGTGGTCAGGCTCTTATAAGATGCCACAGATTGCTTCTCCTTCCTTAAATGGCCCCGGACACTTGGGTCCCTTGAGTTCCTGTTTCTGCCTTTTAGTTGTCGGTTTACTTGTTTTCTTTTTCTACTAGCCCTTCCTCCTCTGCCCAACTCCTTTAACATCTGTAGTAGACCAGGTGTATCAGGCAGTGATTGCTGAGTAACAAACCACCCCAAATCTCACTGGCTTAAAACAGTAGGCATTTACCATCCTGCTCACATGGCTATGTGCCCGCTGTCTCCTCTGGGCTCAGCCATGTGTCTGTGTGCAGCTGTGGACTGCACAGGTGGCTCTGCTGATCTTAGCTGAATTCTCTCATGTATTTGGCTCCACGGGTTTAGGGTGGCCTCAGCTGGGACAATTGAGTGATCCTTCATGTGGTCTCCAGCAGGCTAATTTGACCTTGATCACAGGGGCATAGCAGGATTCCAAGAGAGAGAGCAGAAGCATACGAAACTCCCAAGGCTTAGAACTGGCACTCTGTCACTTGTGTTGCATTTTATTGGGTAAAACAAGCCACAAGCTCCCTCAATTCAAGCACTGGGGAAACAGATTTCATTCTTGAAATTGATCCACCATACCAGGAAATCAAATAACTGACCTCATTAACGTAAAGCAAGAGTGAAGAGTCTTCTCCATGAGGTGTGCCCTTCTAAATAACAGACAATGCACCTTGAGGCACAGAGTTTATTTCATCTGCAGACTCAGCTCAGAGGCCCTT